AAAACTGTAGTTAACTGTAGTTTTAAAATAAACTACAGTTTATTTATATGTATTGTAATTCACAGTTCGCATCTCTATTCCTTACTTAGTGTTATAAATGAGTTAGTTTTATTAATAAAAAAATTCTGGAAGCTGACTGTAACCCAAAGCCATGATCCTAGTAAAAATCAAACCTTTTATATCCTAAAATTGTTAATGCTGAAACAAGCAATAGAAATGTTGGTGGCGTTATTATTAACTTACTTTTTTTTCTTTTTTTATATATATATTCACTTATTTCTTTCATTATCATAAGGATGTACTTGCAAGTTCATCAATTATTAATAGTCAAGTACCATCTACCCCATCGCAAAATATTACTGAAGGAAATCTGTCTGATGTATTTATGAATTATCAGGTATTAAGTCAACATTTTCAATGGTAAATTTGGTAAGTAAGATGTTTAACTATTTTTATTATTTAAAGCATATATATGAAACAGAAAATGATATCTGGCAATATCCATATGCCCTAATTGAAAGTGTCAATACAGTATGAAATGTTTTTTATCTCTGCAAAAATATTCTGTTAAATGTTATGATCTTAACATCATCAATAATAAAATTTCAAACAAAAGAATAGCTTAAGTGCAAACTTTATAGAACAATCTAATGATTCACTTCCTATCACTACGAGTGATACTGACTTTCTGCGTAGTAATAACCAAGTAAAAAAATTTAGTTAACTTTAAATTTTTCTAACAATGACAATTTTTTTTGTTTATAAAAATTTTTTTTTAAAAAAGAAATAAAAAAAAAGGAAACTTAAAAATTTAGTTCAGGATGAATCAACTGAAGAATCGCATAAAAGTGATTCTGAAATTAAGAATCAAAAGTATGTTAATGCTCATTAGGTAAAAATTGTTTTATATCATAATTTATTATCTAGTACATGTATATTTGTATAGACTTTGCAATTGTCAATATGTATATCGCTATCTATTTAACCAATTTTGCGATTGCTAGATTATTACGTTCATTAAAAAGAAACTGATGTAGATGGGGTTCCTCATCTGGGATTAATAAAATATTGTTGAAAAATAAATTAATTTATCATAAATACTTGAATCTTTAATCTAGAGTGAAAGTAATGAGGCTGATAAATGTAGTAATCCGGTAAGCTTATACATATAAAAACTTTTTTTTACCAAATTTAGATTTGAATCAATTAATTTATCTCATAACTGAATTTAGTTTGAAATATTGTCACAACTTGAAGCCTATAAAAATGGAGACACTCAAGATAATAAGGTATAAAATGATTAAGGTTAATAATTAAATCTAATTTAATTATTCAAACAAAATT